ATCTACATGTTTCACGAAGCTACTACCAACCATAGTATAAGCGGTAGCAGTAAAATTGGCACTGGCATGGGACTGTAAGAAGATGTCATAATCTTTAACTGTTGTGGTAAAGGTTAAGAAGCAAATTAGTGGATATTTATTTAGGCTATAAGCGTAAGGGATAGCTGGGCGGTCAATGCAAGCAATTTAGAATTCAATGATATTCATCATTTTTGTTTATCGCCATTGTTTCAGTAATATTCAGAATTCCGGATAATTATGAAACAGAAATAAACTATACCGCTTTTACTTCCTCATCATCGTTTTTTGTGAAATGTTGAAATATTTTCACCTTCTTAAAAAAATAATATCGAAAAATTAAAAATTTGAGTTAGAATTTGCGATGCTTCTTAACATGTGCTTCTTTCTGCTTCTTAACATCTTACTGTGCTTCTTAACATTTCGCTGACTAATATAGAATTCCTTGAAATTTAGTCGAAAAATATACCACTCAAAAGAATAAATGGGTCTAGGAAATAGTAGTCAAATACAGTTTTGAAGAATTACGAATCATATCATGTGCTCTTCAAAAACTTTGCTTTTGGTTCTTTATTATTTTGTCTGTTCTCATAAGCAACTCAACGTAATATTGAGAAAAAAAAAGTGTGAAGGAATATCACATGTTTCAAAAACAGGAATTAATGTTTCAAAAATGTTATTGAAATTGACATCAAGTAGAGATGCTTCATTGATTTGGAAAACCGAGTAGACAGTCCTCGTAATACTTATACATTTCCGAAGCTAAACAGCGCATCAACAAAAATGCGAAACGCCTTCCTTACATCATGCAGCAGGTAGACAGCGTCCAGTGGTATGCTGCCATAGTGTGATTTTCAGCTTCTTCATTAGTAAATGGAGGAAAGGACAATAAGAATAAGACGAGGGAGGTGAAAGAATTGCTTAAGAGTTTTAAAATTTTTCATAATGTTGTATGACCTGCAGCAGTTAGGCTGTGTATGATGAAAGTGTTCTCATCTGCTGTGAGGTGAGAATATTTTTTCTCTCTACCATCAGATAGATTGAAATCACTATAATTTTTATAATTCTCTTTCTTGCGACAATTAACCTGTTCAACATGCCATTTTACCGGTAAAGGGAAACAGTTGTATTGTTTGTACTTCCCGCATTCCGTTGCATCACAGATCATGGTCCCATCTAGAAAAGTACCATAAATATCAAACGCTGTTCCATTTCTTAGTCTGATATTGTTTCTAATGGTAAGGATGATGAATTTTTGATAAAAATTACTGCGAAAAATAATGGATTATGATAAAATTTTAATGAAGTAGTCAATGTATTATTTCAAAATGGAATGCAAAATACTGTAAACATTGAATTGAGTGAATTCGCTACATAGTTTGTCACTGTGATATATTTTGCAAAAGAAATAATTGTTTGGAGAGTGCAGTCAAAGGTAGTTAAAAACTGTGATTTTTATAATTCTCTTTCTTGCGATAATTAACTTGTTCAACATGCCATTTTTACTAGTAAAGGGAGACAGTTGTATTGTTTGCACTTTCCTCATTCCGATGCATCACAGACCACGATACCTATCCAGAAGAGTACCAAAAATGCCAAAAACTGTGATTTTTATAATTTTCTTTCTTGCGATAATTAACCTGTTCAACGTCTATTAAAATTTTCTTCTATGTTATGATAGTAACAATGTATCATCTTTAAACTAATTTTGCAGATGATACCATTGAATTTTTGGTTGCAACATATCTGAATGACTACTATAACGAAATCCTTTAATATCAGCATTCATAATAGCAGTCTTTTCAGCAAAACGTGTAGTGTAGGAAAAGTGCGCGATTGGTAATATTTTGTGAAGACGAATTTTGGCTTATTGTGGATGTCATAAGGTACCAGATAGTTATACGTAACACATTTAATTTTTTTTCTTTTTTAGAGTTTCCTCTTCATGTTCCATTAAGCAAGTCATCTGTCGCACATGGTTCTCCGAAATTTCAACTGTTTTTCAACATCTTTTAAAGTTTTCTTCCATATTGTGGTAGTAACAATGTATAATCTTTGAACTAATTTACATATGATACCATTGAATTTTTGGTCGCATATATGAATCACTGCTATGACGAAATTTCTCAATACCAATAATCAAATTTTAAAAAGACCGATGTTAACTGATGAAACCTCAGTTTATAATAGTGATTCAGGATTTCGTTATATATTCAAGTTGTATTGCTGAGTAGAGAAGTGAATTATTGCCATCAATAACAGAAGTGCTGTTCCAGTTCATTGTCAAAAAATCCTTACTTCTACTTTAGCAAGAGGTCAACCAGCACTATCAGAGATGAGAAGGTTCTTCAGTTCTAATTCTTACAGCTTAGATAGTACAGATAATTTGCGACATTCGTCTTATCACGTTCTCTTTAGAAATTTCTCCTCCAGTAAATTCGGGAAAGTTATAATGGCAAAAAAACAAAGACGGAGTCTTTCGATTTTGTTTCTTGGAGAAAAACCGTGTAATCGATGTTTTTCCGAAAAATTCGATCGAAGCATTCAGTTGTTGGCAATATTTTGATACTGTGAAGGGCTAGCATTTACCGATATATAAGGCAATTTTAGAAGACAACAATCTGAGTAGATCAATTGAAATTCAAACGATCTGAAATACTAGCTATCTCATAGAGAATGAAGTTAATGAAAGATGTGGTAATTGTTAGCATCAGAATTCGTGAAAAGTTAAATCACTCGTTACCACATATAGATGAGCCACCTCGAAGGGAAAAGTTTTACTGCGTGATTGTAGATTTGTTCGAGATTTGGATATTATGAGCTATTAGAAAACCCACACAAAATTATGCGAATTAGTACATATTGTAATTTCACTAGGTTTAAATGAGTGCTGTAATTAAAATGATTAGTTTTAACACCTATACAGAATAATTTTAAGAAAACAGCAACCAAATGACAGAATTTTAGAAAAAAAGTTTGGATGAAGCAAGACAGTTCAAGTTACGTCATTATGGGAAATTTATCTTAAGCCTACAACTTTGGATGCTTGAAATAGAAATTCAACCAATATTCTTCAAACTATTATTATAATCAATTAGTAAATAGCAAGTAGGAGAGAGCTATCGAAAAACCGTGAAATATAGGAAAAATAACGGTTATAATAAGACATAAAATGCGAGAGAGTTGGGATAATAGAATTAAGAAAAGATAACACAATCAAGAAGGGAAGAAAATATGATGCGATTCAGGTTATCAGGGAATTTAGCAGTATCAAAGACGGAAAAGTGACATAAAATAGCAAAATGAAAGGTAAGAAAAAATTGACGCATGAATAATAGACACAAATTACTGATGGTAAAATTGGGAAAGGCCCACGCTCGTTATAATTAAGTCTGAAAAATGAGGCTGGAAAACTAATCCTTGACGCATGGACGGTATCAAAGAAAAGGCGAAAAAGCGTGTGTAAGTTACATTGTAACAAAATCATTTTTTTTTATCATCTTATTAGTGGATGTTATTAAATCACTTAAACCAACTATAAATGTCGATAAAGCGAACTGAGTTGTGGAAAAGAAGTATAAATCAGGAAAGTGATAAGCAGTGAAAATGGGTTTAGGATGGAAACCGATATTGTCATAGCAGGCAACACCAGCTAAATTAAAAGGACGGTAATTATCCAAATGGTAGTGGTATGAATGCTGTCGGAGAAGTTGTAAAAAACATCTAATGACGAGATAGGCGGAAGACTGAAGTAACAACTATAGAAGACAGCAATAGTGATTATGATTAGATCTCATCGACTCTGACAGATAGAAAGGCAATGGGTGACGAACTCCATTTATGATATCCGTTGAATCACGCAAACGATTTTATTCAACTGCAACATTTTCGTAGCAGTAGTCACAATAATAATGAAATTGGTAATAGTAAATGTAACAAGAGATAGTAAGATCAGAATGGAGTAACAACATCTTATCGTCAGAAGTATTAAATGGTTTACGACCAAGTGCCAAATCACGTCAAAAAGGGAGCTGTCGTAAGGGCAGGAAAGGAAGAGAACCAAGCGGTGGTGCAAGAAATACGTATCAAAAAGAATCGTTGAAAGAAGAAGACCGCACATCGAGCTTTCCTCTACTGCTCGCATCATTACATGCTGCTACACGAGACCACCCACGACGTCTTTGCTCGCATATGTCTTTAGTCGAACGGAATCCATTTTTGAACAATTTTTCAATCCTTTGAGGGACGAGGCATTTGGAATAATGCATCTGGAGAGTTGACGATGACAAGATGGTCTTGCTCGTATGGTGCAATCGTCATACTTTCGCTTTTTCTCCTGCTGACATATTGAAGTATTTTCACAGCGTATATTAAGGGATAATGTTACTGAGGTAAACCATCATATTTTTCATATATACAGTTCTTATGTTTTAATGTGATGAAGTTAACGCCCTTCGTTTGTCATCAGATAATCTGCGTCCTCATCATATACTTTTATCTAGCACTAAACCATAGAATGATTTTCACACCTACCTCCTTCGATGCTTCCGATCTAAAGCATATTTTCATCCTAAGTAAACTAGAGCAGTCTGAATCTACCTCTGTTCAGATTACACGGTGCAATTTAATTCTCTTCCTTATACTTCATTTTTAATTATCAGAGGAAGGTGAAAGATGTGGAAAAGTTTATTTGATTCTTTCAGTCGAATTTAAAATTACAATTCTCAATATCGCATTAGTAAGTTTAATATCGTCTACTTGTAACCGTACGATTGATAAGGCTATGATAAAAACTGTTTTAAAAACGAAAGCACCAAATAATTCTCTCAGAATGTCGAATAGTTCCTTATGGTTACAAATAGTGATTTAAGATTCATTTGTTTGCTTAACCGAAAAGCTTCTTACTTAAATCGTCTCGGTATATAAATGAACTCGTAATATGCAGATGGATTCGAGTCCAAAAATAACGAAAGTCTAGAGATCTAACAATCAGTACTGAATGTAACACTTTTTTTAATGGATGAACTATTGCCATTTTGGGTTAAACTGGAACCATCAATGTGTGGAACAATCTCAGATTGTCTAATACTGCACTGTTCGAAACATGAAGGCACTGCCATTCCCATCAATGATATTAGAAAGGGTATTACAAATACTGCGTGCAAAAATCCGAAAATACTGCATAATAGAACTGTTTTGGCAAAGACAGCATACATATAAACGTTGTGAAACAGTAATGGCATAATACAACTGATAGTCGTGATTGCTGCCTAAACAAAGTGAAGTTAGAAGATTGAGAAATGAATCACAGACGTAACATCACCTGTAAGAGCATTTGCATCCTTATATAATCAAAGAATCTCTTAGTAACATTCAACGAAATAAAATACTGAGCAGATTCATTTTGTAATATTGCGCAGATTAAATTCGTAGTAGACAGTGTTAGTATCATTTATCATTGACGACGCTTGTTTTAAAAGAATTTATGGTTTGTGGTTAGACAAGCCTTGACAAATCTAAATGAAATATATTACTTGAGCTGTAGGACCAAAAATGGCATGCAGAGTTCTGGCTGTGCGTTCTATTTGATTTGTCATAGTTCCGGCTTCCAGAAACAAGTGATAGCCAATATGCGACACATAATCAACAGTAAAGCCTGCAGCCATAACAACATTCACCATCAGCACCACATCCAGTTCTGCTCCCCAAAAACGAAGACATCCCACTATTACTATAACAATATTTAATTACAACGGTAATTTGAAGTGTCATAGCTCAGTACCTGAAGTAACATTAATGAAAATAGAAGCAATACATTTTCCTACCAGCATTCTCGAAAAAGTCTGTGACTCCGAGAATGTCCTGTAATTAATAGACACATAGCTTCGAGCGATCAAAATAATGATGTCAACTTGCGCCTTACTTGCAGAGTTCTGCGAGAAATCAACACATGTTTATGTAAGCATTATCATCTTTAGTGTGATTTGCAGTTTTAAATAACGATATTAACTAACGTGTGATAATTGATAATAGAGAAAGTATGGTGCAAGTAGCTATTCCTATCATTGGTAAGAAAAAAAAACAAGTGACGGCCATAATTACAACTGTTATCATTACTGCTTCCAAAACTGTTTCTTTGATTGATAAAATGAGATCAAGGATGTGTGAATCATAAAAAAACATTGAATAGCCATTGGGAAGTAATCTCCGCAAATCGTTTACAACAGTGGCACGATCTCGCCATTTTGCAAACCCTTGCAAACACAATTCAAATGATATTTTGTTTAATGGTAACAATGCGCTGCTGAAATAAAACTTGTGAGGAAGGAAATCATTACAAATATATCTCAGTGAGGTTGACTGTTTAAAAATTGATAATTCAACAGTGATATCAACAGCTTATGTTCCTGGAAGAAGATATTATAATGACAGGTAAAACTTTGAGGTAATTATTTTGAAAATGTTTTATGATTAAACTATCTGCTCGGAATAAATTAGATCCACTTTTTGTGATTATAATTCAAGTAATATGCAATTTCTGGATATCGTCTGAAAAAACTGGGCAGTTGGCTGAAATAATCCTGGATATCAATTGATAAAGGATGGTACAGCTGTTCGTAAAGTTCGAGCCAGGTCGTGTAATTATGGCATAGAAAATGAAAAGATGTAATTCGCGTTATATCATCCCGTAATGTGGTGGCATTCCTGGGCAGTTCTGTCACTAGTATTCTGATCATCTGATGATCTCCATAAATCTGCAAAATCTTTAGCAATTATCATCTTCATCTCTTAGTAATTTTATACTTGACATTTTCTTCGGATATTGTGAAATTGACTGAAAAAAGTTTCGACAAAATCATATCGTTAGAGTACCTAAAATTAAAGTTTTGCAAAAGATTGGACTAACTTTATTCATCGAAGCAAGAGATTTTGCAAGAAACGAGTTATCGTCAAATATTTTTTCAGGAGCAAAACTTTCTTCCATATTCAGAATCATAAATATACAGCTTCCGAGTAAAGCAAACATCAATAACAATACTGCAATATGGGCGAAGGAAAATTTTTGGAGAAAAGTACTGTACATTTTAAAATATCGTTTAGGCCTGAAATCATTGGAATTGTAAAGGAAACGCTCAATACTAACCACTAATCCCGGAATCTATCTTGAATTGTGGCAAGAAACTAACATGTGGAATTCTTCATTTTTATTTAATGGTACTTTTCCAGGACAATAGATCAGCAATTGAGGCATAAAAACAAATAATTCCAATAGCCAGCACAATGCAAATGCAATTGCTGAACAGAGACAAAAACGAGCAATGTCCATTGATGGTGACATGACATATCCTACCTGCAACTTTTCAAGACATCAGTTTTTTAAATTAGCAGTGAATTATAGACCGCGAGATGGATGAATAGCAGAATGTTAAAGGAGTTAGAAATAAAATAAATAAATTATAAGGGAATGAAATATTGTATTAAAAATCATAGGGATGAAAATAAACGGTTAACGTACGAGAAATGCTGCAACATTTGTAAAGGAGGAAAGCGTGATAGATGGGCCAATATCTGTATACATCATTTGAAAGCGAGGGCTAGACATAGATTGTGAATGAAACCAGAACTGCATTAACAAAAACAAGTCGTCCACTCCTACACCGAGTATCAAAAATGGAGTGATCATCCTTCAAAATATTAAGTATATTTTCTTGATCGTTGCTCCATCAGTTCTATATTAATTCAATTTTATTAATCCAATTTGCAAGATAAAGTGGACAATGAAAAGTTCAAATATTTTAAATGATGAAAAGGACGAAATATTGTGCGAAATTTTTATTTCGGATTAAAATGATGAAACAAACATCGTACTGTTGATGTGCACATCCATTAACGATAACAAACCAATTGTGGTTGTACCAGCCAGCGTTGGACAAAAAATTGCCATGAATGTTAATAATATATTAACAATGCGCTTCTAAAAGCAGATATGGTGCTATACTTCTTTAAAAATAAAAAGAAATTGCAGTTGTTATTTTAAATCACAAGCTATTGATTATATGAGTAATGCTAAATTAACAAATATCGAAGCTTAAATTTCAATGACCTGTTCATATTGCCATGTAATAATGTATACAACAACTATCATCAATGAAGCTCCAATGGCAAGATAGGAAATGGTTGAAAAGGCTGCCTTTTGTATTTCGTAGTTAACCAATTCATCTCCCAATAAGTACAGTTTCATCTTCGAATCAATGCGCTTCTGAAAATCCTGAAAGGATTATTTTCAAAAAATCTTCAAATTTAATTCAAATCCAAATCTACAGTTTATTGATTACAGAAAAGGGCATCCTTCCTTAATGATCAAGTGATAAAATTTACAAATGCTTCTAGTCCACTACAATATAAGCTTTTGAAAGTGTGCTTGTAGTAGCTTTTATTTACTCTTATGGCTTTTTTAATTCAAATTTTCTGTACAGTAAAGTTTTTAGGTATGAGATGATTCCAGAATCCAGTTACTGTAGTGATATGAGAATGAAATCTTTGATATCATGTGCTACTTTTTTAAAATACCATGAATTTCGTTCAGAATTGATTTTGAAATTCTAAAGTATCTATATTAGAGATCTTCGGTGGATAAATTTTGAAAAAAATTCCATTTAAAATTTTAGATTTAACTGAACAGTAACGCATATTTGAGAATAGGTGTGTAAAAGGAAGCTTAAAATCCCGCGGTTGGAGAAAAAGCAATTTTTTTGTGCATCATGGAAAATCTCAGCTTCAAATAAGTTACTCTAACTAACAAAATAATTTGTCTCATGCATCTGTACAAGAAAGAGCCTCACTTTTAATTGTTGATACCATTGCAGTTCAGCAGCTTTGATTATATCAGAAGCAAGAGGATTACTGGTATTGAATATCATCAAAAAGCGTAGAGAAAAAACCGATTCTTCTAATGATCCATAGATGATGTGTTGCACTGACAAATGCATTGAGCCAAGCCTTAGATACGGGTATTTCAGCACAATTTCGCTGCTATTCGGTGATTTTGCATATTTCTGAAATTCCCATCCAAATTTCGTTGTTTTGTGAAAGTATTTCTCATTGCTATTAAAAAACTGGCTTTCAGTACATAGTTGCGGTGACAAGGAATTATAATTCCTTAAGAGTATCTTCTGAACAGTACCAGTTGGATATGTTGCTCATTTTACATACAATCATGGATGTTTTGATAATCATTTCATTATGAAAAGGATAGAGGTAAGCAAGGGATGACTTAATTTATACGATTATGTCTCAATGGTGACGAGAAAACCGCTTCGAAGTCCAAAATTGGAGTTAGCAAAATATGCTTGAACTAAGTAATGGAAAAGAATTCAAACAAACAACTAATATTAAGAAGTGTCTGAAAAAGATTATCAGGGATATCATATTTTTATTCGTGCACTTTCAGGTTTTTATAAATAAGAAATATATTAAGTGGAAAACCTCTAATAATGAAAAATGGATTTCGCTTGAGTAAATTAAAAATTTTTGTAGGGATCGAAAATGTGGATTATAGAAATTATGCGGTGGAAGAGCTGTTTGAAGGCCACGGATCGCTTCGTTTTTCATTTCTGTTATATATTCATCCCTAAGCATCGAACAACCAGGCTGCACACATTCACTAATAAGCGCCATCTGAAAATGATGTCATTTCGCTAAAAATTTTATTACATTTCATTATTGTCTCTTTGCCAACAAACTGCAAATAACAACGTTCATACCATATATGGCACCTTCGTGTAATTATAAAACTGCAGAAATTTGTTATGCTCTGCTGCTGATTTCGAGTCCCTCAAAAAATAGCCACTGCGGAAGTCATCCTCGAAGTGCACTCTTTGCAAGCCTAGGCTTAGAAAAATACATATCTGGAAATTTGGATTTCTAAAGATGCTAGAAGAAAATAATGCTTCTTTCACTTATGCCTTCCTCATACGGGCAAACCAGATGGACATAATTATTTACTTTTTATTATATAAGGATTGAGCTGATTTTGGTATTTCTAAAATATTTATTACATTTTCTTCTCTCTATAAAATGAAGTCATAGCCTAACGAAGCCTAACGAAAAACGTTTCTAGCATTTTATTTCGTTGGTTAATTGATCGAGCTTACCTCTTATCTATGACCTCTCACTTACATAAAAATGATTAAAAACTCCAAACAGAGAGTGGAAACATAAGAGAGAAGAAGAGTAGAGGGGAGTATGAGTTAATTTTTAAAACGCTTGGAGTTCATTGAGGAATCAAAGCTATAATAAGAAAGAATCTAATCATCTTTTCAACCTCGATTTCATATCAAGAATAACAGGAGACTGCAATAATCAGACCTCGCATTAAGTCACAGTTATAGTTTCAGGAAGCATTCTTTTACTTTGTATAATAGAATAAAAAATTTGGAACTCACGCATGCAGTTACATATGAAAAATGATTTGGATAATTATAAACATAATTGCCAAGTTGAAAAAATAAATATCGATGTGCAGCCAGAAACGGATGACGCAACAAATGCATTCTTAGCTTCTTTACTGATTTCTGCAAAAGTTTTTCAGAAATTTTCCAAAATTTATTTTAACCGCATGAAAATCTATCAGCACCTTTTAGCTTTCCTTCATCTATTCTCTAATTTTTCATTTTCACTTATACAACAATAACAGAAGTCTTGTGTCATTCTGGTTTCGTTTGAAAAGACGAAATTGAATAGATCATATTATAAATAAGATTCACTGCTTCCTATAGTATATCTATTTCCTATTATTTTTTTCATTTCCAATTGGCTTCTCGAATTCGCGGAAACAAATATTTTTAGTTTATTATGTAGTCTTTCTTACTCATTTACAATAAAATGCATTAAGGAAGGAAACTCTACATAACTCATCATCTTTCATCAATCATCAGGTAGAAACCCAAAATTATTTGTGCATTCTTCACTGTCGTTAGGTCAATTTCAAAACTAATATTCACCCACACGATGCTCTTTCATTCATAACGCTCAGCATTCTACAGCAATATTTACGTAAGTGTAATATTTATACAGTTTAAAAAAAAATTTGAAAAAAAGTCGATTATTTAAGAACTTCGGAAAAACCAAAATTAATTATCCTTGATATTTTTCAACAACGAATGAGCAAGGCGAAAAGGAGTAGGAAACAGAAAACAGCAATTGTTAATGCAGTTTTTATATTTTTTTGATATTTTCCAACAACGAATTAGCAAGACGAAAAGGAGAAAACAAAAAACTGCATTAACAATTGCTGATAATAATCGTCTGGAACGAAGAATTTATGGTAGATAGTATCGTCCAGTGATCTGAAAGGTTTTTCCCGCTGAAATATTCAAAAATAAAACTGGCAGAATTTAGAAAAAAACCCAACCGATGTTCCGCATGCGAGCTGTACAACAACATCTAAGCGGATTCTTAAATGGAAAATCCGGCACTTTGAATCCGGTACTACCTGCTTCCTTCAGGCTCTGTTTGATGAAATGTACAAAGAAATTGATTTTGACAATAATATTCAATTTCCGAACACATTTACTTCGATTCTGTAATTCTTTATTAATTCTTGAGCCGCAACTTTACTGCCTTTTAATTCATGGATATCTCAATCGGATTTATCATTTATTATCCTTACCAAATTTATATTTTTTATCCATTACATTTGATAAGATAATATAATTTTAAATCCATTTGGTTTTGGTTGTTCACTTTTATATTAATGTATATTTTAATGCAAAAAGTCTTTGTGAGAATATTTCGGACCTTTTTCGCTGACCTGAGACTTTGTGAATAGAATGGAATCATCAATCATTAGTCCACAAGTCCGCACAAGCCAACAAAACAAGACATTTGGAATATGAAAATAGTGAATGAGTGTAGTTCTATAGTGAAATGTAGAAGTAATTTTTACAAAATACATTAAGAATCAAATTCAGAAGAACAACAGCAAAAAAGGTATAACAACAATAGTGTGTAAAAGGCCAAGTACTCCACATAGTATAATCGTTTTCGCGAATGTCACATACATGTAAACGTTATAAAAATAAAGAGGTAAAACACATATAAACGTGGTTGTTGCTGCCTGAAATCATGTAAAAATATATTTAAGATCTAAAAAGAATGAATTATTCCTTTCCAGGCAATTGACTTTCATTCAAACATTCATCTTACACGCAGTGAAATGATAAAAAACGTATGACCTGTCCAACGCATGAACAGAATAACAGCAGTTGATATGGAAATTCTACCAAAAAGTATTTTACTTGAGAGGTGGCATAAGTGATAGCTTGTAGTGAAGAGGACATTCGGTCTATAGGAGGAAGCGTTGCATTCGTCACAAAATAATGATAATTTATGTGTGCTGCATAATCAATTGTCAAGCCAATTGCCACCACAATGCTAATAGTTACAATGATATCCATATCAGCGCCCCATGCGCTTAAACCTCCCACTATCCCTGCAAATCTCGTATAATTTTACACTTTAAGCTAAAGTAGCTTCAGAAAAAAAGAACAGTTTTACACAACATGCATATAGTGATAAGTGCCTGTTGCCGGAAGAAATGTATTTCACTAGAAACCAAAGCTTCAGTAAGACGATTACTTTCTCCATAAATTGCTTAACAAGATGAGGATAGTTCCGACATTGGCTAGAAATACACATTATTACGAAATCGCTTTTGAATCAGATAAATGCAATCCACAATGGACACTACTATGAATGAGTTCGTCGAAGATTTTCAGATCTAAGCTGTCAGTAGTACGAATTCCTCTCATCCTACCTTCTCCTCCTTCTCCTTCACTCCTGTTCTTCGTTGTCATTTACTACATCAAAACTTAAAGATCCTAATAATGATGCAGCAGACCTGTAGTGACCGAAATCATGGAGAGGAGAACAAAAGCAGTTGCTCGAGCGCTTGGAATGAACAGTGAGCAAAGGATAAGCATGGAGATGGAAGTTATGACACCTGATTGAACCATTGTTTCTCGAGCTGTTAATATGATATCAAATAAAGTGCAGTCGTAAGCGTATACCAACATTTCTCCAGGCATGTTTTTCCGGATCTGCTCATGAATAAAAGCTCGATCACGCCAATTACCATATCCATGGATGCACAAGTCGAAGGATATTTTGTCAACTGCGGCAATTCCACTGCTAAACACTTTGATCAGTTATCTTCAGCTTCCAATTTCTGGACTTAGGATTATAGTACGTCAAAAAAATGTACTGTCCTACAACAGAAACCCTTGTCGCAGTATCTCCAGATAAAAATAAAAAATACTTGATTAATGTGAAATCCTCGGCATTAATTTGTTCGATATTATACTTAGATTAAATTTCTTAGAATGATATGACAAAAAATTTCGGTTGCTCAACAGTATTCTATTTTTCTGATGAATGGAAGTTTTCGACTTTTTAAAAATACATCAGCAGTGTTGATAATTCTTTTTTCTAAATGCAGAATGTAAACAAAAAAAGCTCATTCAAGAACCTATCAAACTGCAAAACTAAATTCTTTGCCAATTCGGGATTGTAATCCAGATATTTCATGATATTTCCAAAGAAGTTTTCAGTAGTGCCATTTGTATGACCATATAGAGCAGCATATTCTTCAATCCAAGTTTTGTAATTTGGACACAAGCAATCAAGATTATGCACATGCGCCACAATATCTAATAATTCTGTCGTCCTGTTTGGAATGTATTTCATAAAGACAGGAAAGAGTTCATGCTCCATAAAAGCCTGAAACTTTCACTTTCGTTGATACTCAAAATAAGAATGGTAAAATATGAGAAGTTATAGAATTATTTCATTTCAGCATAAAGATCTTAGTATTCTGTTAAAGACAAAAACTATTGTATTTTGTGTTTTCTAGGCTCATTTTGTTTCTTAATGAATACAATAAAACAATGATTGGTTTATTATACAAACTGTGCTTTTTTAAGCTTAAATTTAAACCGAACTAAGTGCTAAATTAATTTGTTTGAAGCTTTTGAACATATAAATCATTCGGTTTGATCTAAATTGCATACATTTTCAAGAGTTGGCAATGAATCAGTGAGGAAAGAATCTGATCGGAATGTTTTTTGTGGTGCGAAATTTTCTTCCATTCGAAGTGCAAGATATACACTACAGATCCAGAAGAGAATGAGAACACACAATAAAATAACTCTGGTAACAGGATGCATCAAAAATTCGCAATAACTTTTGAATGATTTGCGCCTGAAAATAATGAACTGCATGATCTACTTATTATAAAACTATTTAAGTGACAAAATTCAATAAATTATTTTATAACAGTTTCATAAATTCTAACTTGTTTTATTTACACTTACTGTCTTCTAGTGATTGCTTTAGGAACAAACCTTTTGTTGCTTTTCCTTGAAATGTTGAATGAACCAGAGTGAATTTTCAATAGTACAGGAGTAAATACTAAAATTTGGAATATCCAATCAAGCGTGAGTGCCAAAGCAGAACAATAGCAAAATTCCCGAATTGCATACGGCGAAAGAAAACTGCCAACCTGTAGTATGCGTTCACTGGAACCACAATATTTGAACTGATGAAACATTCTTTATTTTGAACAATTCAGTAACTTCAACACTTACCATAAAGGCGCAGATGTTTGTAACTGAAGTAAGAGTCACAGATGGACCAATTTCTACAAGTACTAAAGTTAGGCGAGATGAGGGGTCTAATTCAATGGAAGTAAACCATTTGTGAAGTACCAAAAATGCATCATCTACACCAACAGCTAATACCAAGAATGGTGTGATAAGCCTAGAATATTTTAAATTTCAAGTGAAATGCCGTTATTCAAAATTGTCACCTACGTTTCCTCCATTAATTTTATGCTTTATTCAGCATTTATTCAGCATGCTTTAAAAAAAAATTAATGGAGGATAAAATTAATGGAGGAAACGTAGGTGACAATTTCGTAATAATGAAAACAATAACAAATATATAAATCAAAAATTAGAATGTTATAAAGTGGCCGTATCAATTTTGAATCAATATAATTGAAATAAGTAAAGATTTGTTCGTTAATAGTAGATCGGAAAGATCATTAGCTAACATGGACGAATTTAATGTGCGGCCTAGAAGTGAAAATATGGCAACTGATGTTAAGCCAGCCAGGCATGGACAAAATGTAATCCATAGCGTCAAAAAAACCGTTTGCAAAAGTGTCTGAAATTGCAGTCAAAAAATTATTTGAAACAATCCGAAAAAATTTTGACCTTAACTGAAAATACCGATGACTGTAAGTTACAAAAGTAATTCAATAAAATCAAAATACTGAAGTCAAATAAATTCATTCCTATATTAAACTGCATGATTCAAACATCATCACAATTCTTGGTAACAGTCCAATGTAGTGCCTTCATTATTTTTGCAAAAGATTTCTAGCTAACGTCTGACAGTTATTTTCAATCTACTGTTCAGTTCATTTTTTCACTCCTGGAAATAAAATTAAATCAAAATTTACTAAAAACTAACCTGATTGTAATGGATAATCGATAAAAATACGAAGAAGACCATTGCAAATGAACCGGTGAAAAAATAGGGTAGTGAACCAACTGAACCCAAAAATATTTCATTGTTCACAATTTCGTCACCAAATAATCGAAAACGAACACCCGATTCACTTGACTGCTAAAAATTGCAGTAGTCACAAAAACAAGAAAGTTCGTTTCAGCTAACTCTGTACTTAATTTACCATTTTGTTTGCGAGCATTAGAGCACATTGTTTCCAATATTTCAGTAATTCTTTAATCAGTTATGTCTTAAAACTTCTGCTTTCTGTCCCATCTCATTCAGTAATTCACTTCTTTTGCTCCCAGCCGAACAAGACCTTAAGCTTATTGCTCCATTCAACTTCAGTTCGTTTTATACTTGAAACAACATCCTCGTTACCGACAAATATGAAGAAGTACATCAGCATGCCAACAAAACCATTACTATAACGCCGGAAGACATTCCTGGTTGTGAAGTTGATACCGTAAAGATTCATCGTTGGATAACCAAGCACTGCATTTTCATTAGATTGAATTTTGATTGCTTCCTAAAATTTGCTGTGACTTTTTACTTTTTTCCGTTTTTTAATTTCAAGAAACATCAATCGAACTAATTGGGTTCATAACTTTGAAATCACTGCAAAAGAAATATTGTGTGTCAGCAAGAAAATACGATTAGGTTTATGCCTTTAAAAAATTAATAGGTTGTGGTTTACTTTCAAGTACTTATCGACAAAATACCAACCGAAATAGCTTCATAAAACGGTTTAGAAGAAACGAATACATAAGAACCAAGCGTTCTATTCTGAAATCCGTTACCAACCAAAGGCATACGTAATCCTCGTTTTGCTTCTTGTTCCATGGCAATAAACTTGTCAGATCGTAGCATCGAACTTCCATCGATGCTTTCGCCAAAAAGTACTATCTGAATTTATGTAAATATAAATTCTGCTTACGGTTATTGTTGGTATATTATTCTTTATCCTAATACTGCAAAAATAAGCAATCGCTAAGAAGCAAGGAAAAATTTTTTATAGTACACTTCTCACGATATTAAACACTGAAAATAACCGTGTATGGATCAGATGTCAAGTTATAAAATCTTCGATAATATTCTCTCTCCGACCATGATTTTGACATTGGTATTGAGAAGTCTGTACGGAAATCATTTTTGAACTCCGCGTAGAAAATTGCAGTGCATACTGCTAATGCGATCTGTAATCATTTATGTTTTGTATAATAATGGATAATCCAGTAAAAAACTGATGGAAAAATATCTCGTGCAGAAACCTTTATAAGATGAAGTTTTTTTACGTAAAATCAGTTGACGACTGAATACTTTCAGAGTTCGTAATGACGATTTTTTTGACTTAGATAAAATAAACGATATAAGCATACAATAAGTGCTTCATATGTTAAAATAGTATACACTCAAAAGACTAGTAATCTATCAGATACAGAGGGAAGATTTATTGCTTATCTGATACAATTGTTAGAAAACATACCAAAACACATGTTACTGTTGGAATTGTCGGTTCGCGCGCAATTAGAGCACTTAATTTTGAAAAAAATTTGCTGTGAAATTCGATGATCATTAGAGAAAAGGTTGACCAGAGAGGTGTTCAGGGTCTCGGAGTGCAGTTGTTAGTTGGAGAGTACCAGGAATGTATCGCTTTTATCCTGTTCGTTAGTGGTTAATGTGAATGGATACATTGATGAATTGAAAGTGTCATGCAGTAGAATGGAGAAATCAGAAGAGAGTAGCGGTCGATTTCTTGCAGATGGATAATTTGGACAAAAGAGCAAAAGGGATCTGGGAACCGTTGAAGGTCAGTTATTTCCACAACACACTCCCGCCGCAATTCATATCTGTTCATATGGCAACAATAGTCACAATTACAAAAATACGCTATACGTTCTGGAATGTTTCTTCCTTTTTATACTACATAGCTTAACTTAATGAAAGGTAGATTTATAAAATTGATTCATGAAAGTTAAATCTTTTAAATTTAAGAGGAACATTAAGAGCAATTAATATTGATTTGATCAGTGAATAAGTAAATAGTAGGTAAGAGAGTTAAAGAAAATCTTGATAAAAAATTACAAATGAAGTTGAGCAAAAATTGTTTATTAAGAAACAGTGAACAGTTTATTACAATGTATAATAAACTAGCAAAATGAGAAGGATGGAACGGGCCAAAGAAATGATGAAGCAGAGATATATTAGCTCAATAAGTTATTTTTTCAATCAATATTGATCTAAATCAGCTCTAAATCAGCTCCAGGAAGTAAGGACGGCAATGCTTTCCATCGTTTTTATTTTCTTTTAAATTTGCTTTTTATCTTTACAGTAGCATTACGAGGCAGTTGGCAGTTATAATACTTGAATTTTAAAATTTAGTCTATTAATTTTTTGCTTCCTTCCACCAAACATGGATTGCATGAGCATGGATAGCATGGATTTTAGGTATATGAATGTACAAATCATTATACCGTTGATGTGAGCTTCTGTTTGTTTGTATCCGAAGTTTGTAACAAAGAAGAGCTTACAATGGAAACTCCTTCCTTTTTCATTTTTTGTTATCACAGAGAACTGCATCGTGGTCTTTGATTTCTTCAAACATTGTAAGTCATGACTATTCAAATGCTTATTCCGATACAGTTTTTTTTCTACAACAACAAACAACGAACAAGATCGCTATTCATTCAGGGATCGGTTGTAATCCATTTGAATTAGTTTACTTAAAAATCCATTTAGTTTACTTTAAAATTCCAAACAATGTCTTGGAAAGAAAATTTATTTTATTTTTTGTCAACTTTGATGTTTTTTTTGACTTCGCTGTCATTAATTCTCAATAGCAGCAAGTAAAAATTATACATCATATGAATCTTTCTAATGATGTGTTGAAGCAGAGAAATAATCTCAGTTTCAAGAAATCCAAGAGGGAAGAAAACAAAGTAGAAAGACAAACTTGAAAGTCTAAATTCAAGAAAAGTAGATGTATTTCGGCAGGTATAACTTTGTAGTAGTAAGAAAACATTACTTGTTTCAAAACGGTACTTGGCAGTCCCGCTTCCTCTTCCACATCTCAAATAACTTGTACTAATCTTATCCAACGGATTTATTCAAGCTACCCTACAAATTCTGCTACCATATACCTGTCGAATTTATCTTTCCAATATCTCTTGCATCGGTAAGAAAAAGAATAGGTCACACTGGTAGAGCTCTACGGAAGAAACAATTGTGCCAAAAAGATGTGCTCATACCTTCTGAGTACCCATGTATTTTATAAATATAAAACATTTGAAGGTCAGTATCTCATTAGCAGAAATTTTCTAATTTTGTCTGCAATTGATAGGAATCCGGAATTTTATTAATTGAGGTACAAGTCTGAAGTCCAAGAAAAGTTGCTTTTTCCACGCTATTAAAAGTTGATCATATTTCTTCTCTTTCCTATAATCATTTCACTTTGAAGCACATATGCAATTGTCCAGCAAATAACTGAGTATAACTATCCCTAGAAAGTAAGCTTCTTGCGAAAAGTAGATTTATAGAGAAATAACAAATTTCAGATTTATGGTTTTATGGAACATTCATGTTCCTTTCTCGACCTTTTCGACTTTCTGATTTGAAGTGAAAGTTCATTATCACCAACTGTTAACCACAACTTTTCTATGGAATTTGGAATTCAAGCTTTAAAAGCTGTTTTTGACGCTTAGAAAAGCGTCTATTTCCTTTTATGTCTTCATTTTAAATAATATCAATTTTACAACTTGATTGTTTCATTTTTCTCGTAGTTTGCATGAGTGCCGTTTTTTCATTGATATTGCAAATACTAATGTAACGCGAATGATATAGTTTAAAATGCGATTTGACTGTCAAAATTGAAAGATTGATTGGAGTTATGTTCGCACGATGAATTATGAGTTTATGAGAATGATGGCGACATGACACGCTAATAGTTTTATAGACTGAATATTGCTGACAGACAGTAGCAACTTGTTAATTTCTTTATAAAGCGATCTTAAATGTGCATTATTTGTTAACAACAATAAGTGCACTTGTGAACATCATCAATGTGACAAACAATTGCTGCTTATCATTTAGATCATGTAAGTAGAAAGATAATTTTTTTTTTCAAATACAGCAATCATGTATGTGATAAGTGATTTTGCAGTTCTTGTGACAATTAAACCTGTCGAAAAAATAAAAAAACAATTACGACGAATTTTATCAGACAAACATTTTTTAAACATCATCATTTTCCTGAAAGGCTCGTTATTAATTAATATTGAATTCAGATTATAGATGACAAAAATAATGTTGAAGAGTAACCATAAGCATAAAACTTTTATTTATTAATCTTCTGAAAGATATTTGGTAGAGTCCACACTAGTTTCGAGGTTTAGTTATAACTGCACATTTCTCAGCAAAGGAGTAGCAAACGTCATGTCTGAAAAGTAATGCTAGGAGTTATCAAAAATTGAACCCGCATTTGCTAGAAATAGATAATATATAGGGAATGACATGAAGTCTGCTTTTGTAAGAGAATAAAAGTTTTTTAAATTTTTGTCTCAGATTATGTTTGCTTCCAAAAATGCCTCGGTTGAGTGGGATTCCCGAAAACCAAACGAATCTTAAAAGCCACTAAAAAAGTGGCAGTAGCGAGTTTTGATTGGTAAATGAGTATAAATCAAGGCCATTCATATATGTTAATTGAGAGTTAACAATCAGTTTTATATTGATTTTTCAACAAGATTTCTCGGACGTCAATTGCGTAAGTACCTACTGGAATTGCTTATGTATTCAATATTAGCAGTTGTGCCAATAATGCTAAGAATTATGATCAAATTCATCAGGTGCAAAGGGAGGTTGAAGGCTATTCATATACAAGAAAGGCATAGCGGCACTCATTTTGAAATGCCTACTTCAATTGCTCAGAATTTTAAAAAAAAGAAAAAAATACTTACTTGACGTCATTTGAAACTTCAAAACAGTAGCTTCATGATCTGATCTTGATGCTGAAACAAACATTGTAAAAGTATGTGCAAAAATTTATTTTTGCTTTACTGATATGGAAAAATAGCAATTTTAGAAATTTTTTTAAACAGAATGTTTGCCAATATTGTAATAAGTCATTCGATCAAAACAAAAAGTTTTAAACTTTGAATACGCCATCACGAACCTTAAAAACTTCAACATTAAAGTTACTTAAGATTAAAAATGCATTAAAAAGGACATATTTAAAATTCTGATATCCGAATGTCGAAGTTCAGTGGAGCAATCTATTTTCTCTTATGATTGAAGTTTATTACGAAATTTAATTTCTCCCGTTTTTATAACCGATCTTTTAACTTGAATACTTTCTAAGTTAAGTTGCCAATATTTCATTGTGAATTTATTGATAACTTCACTATTACTGATTTGTAGTTAGGAAATATGTAGCAAACAAAGAATTACTTTTTCCTCCTTGTGTTCTTTTTCTTCGGACTCTTCTGAAAAACTAAGTAATTTCATTGGCAGTATTGGTAGCAATTATCGCAAGTTCCGCATTCATTTATTTTAATCTATTTGATTAAAATTTGAAACAAAAAAAAAACGGTATTTTTTGATCATAAAATACTTCAACATATTTCCCAGATTTTGCAGGTAAAAAAGAGCAAATGTTAATTAGTGTATGATAGAGTAAAAACAATGATATCAAGCAATGGAATGCTGATTTCTATGCTCCTTACTATCTTCCTTGTCATGATGATCCTTACCGTGTTGTTCCTTCTGATCTGATTCCTTCTGTTCTTCATCTCCATGATGATGGCAGAAACAGTGACAGTGTTCACCACTTCCTTTTTTGTGTTTCTTATGTTCCTCCTCCTTATTATGGCTTACCTTGTGTTTCGGACAATGACAATGGCATTTACAGTCCTGATGATTATGTTCAACACTATCTGAATGATTACCTAGGTGTTCATGGGTACCTTTATGATAGTCTCCATGAATTTCTGTGTCATTTTCATGAGTGTGTTCATGTTCATAACTTCCCGTGTCATTGTCATGATGACTATGGCATTTACAGTAATAATGTTTTTTCTTTTCGTGATGATGATCCTCGTCATAATGTTCTTTGCTATGACTTTCATGGCTTTCAGAACAATTGTGATATTCATGTTTTTCATGGCTGGAATCGTTTTGGTGTTCATGGCCATGTTCTTGTTGTTCATCGTAATTTACATCTGTCTTATTCTTGTGGTCTTCTTGTCCTGCATCATCTCGTTTTATTCGCATCGCTTGGATATCATTCAGAGCAAGACAGGTTAAAACGACAGCCACGACAAACACCACTTGCAATCTCTGGGTCGTCATCCTTAACCAATAAGATCATTGAATTTAAATTCCGTTTCAATATCAGCGACGAATTCAAAATTTTCTTCCACATTGAATGCTTCAATTTTTAATCATTTAAACATGGAATTAATTCAAGATTATGGTGAGTAACAAGGATTGTTAAAGCATAAATAAAATGAGTTTGATCCAATGACAAATGGACAGACTGCTTTAAGTTCTTTTAAATTAGATTCATTTATGAATTATGTGGCTTATTAAACTGCATACTGTTGAATAAGTCATTTTACCTTATGTTTAGATATCCGCGACTCTCAGGGAACTCCTAGCAAAAGTTTTTGTATATAAAGCAAACTTTGGGCACTCGCAACTCAAAAAATTTCAATAAGTGTCCTTGATCTTTTTAAATTATTAATAGTAACAAACTTGAAAAATATATATCGAAAAGTACTATTCATAGCTGAAAATCTCTGTATCCGAAGCTAAAAATTTTAAAAAGTTTTCCACCAAAGATGTTAATTGTTTTTGTTTTTCGCATTTGTAACAACCTCTCCTGATTAATATTATCGAAAATGTTAAAGTCATCAATACAAGCACTGCAAAAGAAGCATCTAGAAAATTATATTTGGACAGCTTACCTTACATTAAATAACCCTATTTCAAGAAATAAAATCCTTTCCGTTTCAATTTAAACCAAATTTTATTACATACACTACCGAAAACCATTCAGAACTGTGAAGTCAACAATTTGTGACACTGTGACAGTAAATAATTTTTATATTATCAGTCTCTGAAATTTTGACCTAATGCATATTATGTACTACCATGGATGCGTACTGTTTACTTTCTTGGAGGGATAAAAGCTTTATTACACTGAGATATTCTCGAAACCAACCATTTCCACACCGTAAAGGTCGGCAGTACCGTTTTTTATCCATCTAAGTATTTGAAAAAGTATAAAACTAATTATCAGCTTTTCACTCCCAATTCTAAGTTTTGAAATTATTGACCCATCTAGCAACACATTGCAGATCCCTGTAAGAATAAAAAAATATAAGTATACTGAATTATTCCTATCAAGCTATTTGAAAGATAAAATACCGGCGTTAACACTTCCCCCATCCGAAATGACACCATATTAATTATCGTGTTGTGTCAAGCAAAATTAAACGCTTGTTTTAAACGCTTTTCAATTTCACAGTAGTACACTACTTATAAACAATAATGAAAACAAAGCTCCAAAATGTTTTTAGCCAAAAGAAAAGGCGGGGAGGGAGAAGATTGGAGAAAGCAGACTTTGAGATTTGTCGATTGAAAACAAATCTTAAAAGAGTTCATTTTTTAAAACTAATGTTTTTCTACATGATGTTCATTAGGTTGCTGAACGACAAGTGTTTTTTTTTTTTGTAATAAATATTTACGATGTTCTGCGAGCGAATGCTGTTTCTCATAGAAGAAGTAATAAGTGCAGCGCAGTTGTCCTGAAAGCTACTTCATTCGATCTCAGATTGGGTGGTAAAAGAGGAGCAAGAAAGGATCATTGGTTAAAAATGCAGATTATTGAGAGGTCTATGGAGTTTAAATTGAAAATGAGTCAGCGATGACTAGCATTCAGCTGAACGTGTTTTTTTTTTGAGACAGAGAAGTATGGCAAACATGCGCCAATTTAAAAAGTTTAACATTTTGATCATTTGAAAAAAACGAACAGATTATATAATAAACAGATTATACATTAAATCCTATATGATATCAGGTAAGGAATACATTGCAAATGCCAGAAAAATCACCTTTGTGGAATGTCATCAGTTAGGTATATCCAACAGCGATAAACCATGCTGGAATTTAATGCGGAACGGAACTTGTTTAGTAAAATGTTGTTAGACTTTTTTCCTTTTTTAATTACAATTCTAATCTAACTCATTTCTCAGTATTCTTTCAAACGACCATCCCTACAAATGCTGAAATGGATTAGCAGGATCAGTTTTTGTTCAACAAAAAAAGCGTCGTAACAAGTAACAAAAAGAATTGAAATGTGAAAGGAAAATTGAGAATTCTCATTTTCGGAATCACCTCCCAATATTTGATGCTTCCTTTTACGTGCTACATCATATTTATTACAATATTTCCTCGTTCCTAATAGAATTTTGTTCACTATGACTTTCGTGACAATGGAGGTTCGTTCCTTTCAGATTTCACATATGCATATTGAACTTCTTTCACATTGATGAAATTTTTGAATGAAAAAGTGAAGGCAGAAATAAATTGAGGCTTAGATATGTGAGTTCCATTATCAATATTACTATATATATGTTCATCAATTCTAAATTATTCAAGTTTTGCTGATGTCATTTTGAGTTCTGCTCGTAAAATAGGAAATAAAGATCTATATATGTCCAATGATACGAAATAGAAAGCTCTATCACAAAAATTTGCAACCTTGATAGTAAGCGCATTGATGCAAAATTTTTTAGGTCAGAAAAATTAGTAGTTGATGAAGCCAAAAGAACTAGCAAATGAATTTCATTTCAAAGAAAATTGAAGTTCTAATTTTGTCTTTCGAATAAAATACAAATAGTTCGTAAGTTGATTAGGAAACTCTCTGTTGATAGCTTGCTCATAAGTAGGCAAAGTAAAATTCACATCTAGACGTCAGACCATTGCGGTTTACAAATATATGGATAGTGTTCTAACAGCATTTCGCACATAGCTGCTGACCTGCAAGAGCCTATTGTTCTGAGTGTCTGGGAATTTCTGCTCTATTGGTACTGCGTTAAATGAAGAACAAAGCGCATAATAATACAGTGGAATAGAATAAGAGACAAATTGTGGGATAAAACAGAAATATTTATCTTCAATTAATTGTAAACATAATAATATCCGAATTACAATCCCTTTATGCACAGGTCAAGTTTCGATTACATGAAAAAGGTACTAAAAGAATTCTATTTTGGAATGAACTGAATGGCTATTTAGCAATTTCAGAAATTTATGCATTAGTAGAAAAAGTCAAATGAAATGAAATGAAAAAAAAACCAAAGGTGAAAAGCAGGCTGAAGCTCACCCATTTAAAACTTAAAAATTTCAAGTTGGGGTGCAATTTGTAACAGCTGTTCAAGTAACACATAAGCATCAAGTGGTTTTAAATTTTCGAAAAAGGCTTCGCTGAAATAGGGGAAGAAGCTAAGATGCTGTTCAAACCTAAGCAATCTGTCAGTCACGCTCTGTCTGTTATTACTCTATTTCTGCCGCTATTTCTCTGGATATTGCTAACAATGATAGTAACGGTAGAACTGGTAAATATATTCAGCGCAAGCCTATCAATAGTCTGGCTTACATTGAAAATAATTCATTGGTAACACTTCCTGTTTCAAATCATCCACATGCAAACATATTTTTGCGAGGAATGTGCACATGGTACTTCAAAAGATTGCCTAAAATGAAGCAGGTTAACAGCAATTTAATTCCATTATTAAATGGCAGTCACTGACTGTAACGTCCATCAACTTCATAGAATTCTTAAAATCTGATAGATTGAATTAATGTAATGATTGGTATATTAATCCTACTTCAGGAGACAGATCTTCGAGGAATCATAAACCTTCTTGGGCTTGATAGCTCCCTGTTGTTACGCCATAATACGTTATATTAAATATCTGCTCAGCTCTTCAGTTTCGTAAGATAAATGGATTTGGAATGACACAATAACAACTTTATTATCATGTATTATGTATCATTTAGTGTAGTTTCCTTTCAATTTTTTGAGTTACAAATATGAAAATTTATTGAAATACTAATATGAAAATTTATTGAAATACTAATATGAAAATTTATTGAAATTAGTTTTAAAGTGGTATAGACTTGCTTATCGAAGTTCTTTTTTTATCAACTCTTAAAACACTGCGCTTTGTTGGATTGTAAATAAATGATAACATGTTACATGCTCAGTGATTTTTTTTCTTAGACAGAAATTTATGCAAATGTGAGTTTAACTTTTAAATATGAAGATTATGAAAGAATATGTTACTACAAGTGCAGAAACACATTTAACATTTATGGCACCTAAGGAATATTATATAATGCAATTAATTATAATTAGAAAAGAGGAAATGTTTGGTAAGAAATAAACGTTGAGCAAAGACAAACTGAACTGGAATGCTAAAGGAGAAGTCTGGAAAGAAAACTTGAAGTAATGTTATAGCGAAAGCCACGAAAGCCAAAGACGAAAATAATTTTATAAATGAGGGCGCCATCCGAAAACAGTTGTTTCATCTTGTTAAAGTGGTTTTCTAAGGTCGTTCGCTTTTTTGATTAATTTTCTTATCTTCACTTGGCTTTCAGCCGACTCAGTCTCCCTAGTTGAAAGTGAGAATCAAATATCTTTTGATTTATGAGTGGTTTATAAGGAAGAAACAAATCAGTTAATACTTCAGGAAATAGATCGGTGAAAATTTTCCATTTTCTTTAACTGTAGTGATACTACAACAGATAGGAATTCAGATAAGAACAACTTTGAAATCAATGTAAAAAAAAAGTTGCTAACAATCCTATATATTCTTACTTGATGTTAAGGAATCTGAATCTCTGTGATTAACTTAATCAAAAGTACTCTGATAGGGTTTATCACTAACTGGTCCATCTTTCAGTTTCTTTTTTTTGCGAGGTTTATTACAGATCCAGACTTTTAATAATTGAATATTTATTTTCGAAAAGGGTAAGTCACAAATAAACGGCGAGAATGAAAGGCTTGACAACATCACAGATTTTGCAACATTTATGCTGCAATTTAATTTCTTAACTCGGCATTTTGCGTATTTCAGAAAAGTTTAGACGATGCCTTTCTCATCTTTCTCATCCTTCTTTTTGAATGCGAGTGTTTTTATTTAATACTGTATTCAAAGTATACTGTTAATAAATTAAAATTAAATTAACCATTGTTAATATTATTGTGTATTAAATTGCAGGAATTTCTAAAGGGTGATTGGAAAAACATGATACATATCTTCTGCAAGGGTTTCTAACCAGAATGAATCAACATTGAAATCTTGAAATATATGTTCATTTCACTAAAAAGATTCCCAACAGCTACTAATTATTTAAAGCATGACGTCTGGATAAATCTATACAATTGATCTATATACATCTCTAGGAAGAAATTAACAACAATTTCAACATCTTCATCAGTCAGTATTTTTTCTTTTGTACTTTTCATGTATACCAAAGTATCGTTTTCCATTTCTTTTAGAGGATTGTTTTTCCATCTCTTGTATAGTGAAATCATTGCTTTACATAGCTCTAAATGAAATATGTTGAAACAGTTTAGCATTTCATTGGAAATTACTAAGTTATTGAAATATAGACTTCAGCTGTAAAAAGGAACACAGCCACGAATTTTCCAAACGACTCTTTAAAAATAAAAACCAGCTTCTAATATGAATTAAGCATTTGATAAAGTGTAAAATGTAATTTTTTGAAGCTATAAAAATGTTAAGTATTACTTTTCAAAATTAATTTTTTATATTCTTAACAGAGGAATCTTCACATTCGCTCGAATAACCTACCCATATCATTGCGTTCAACTTCGCATATATATGCCAATCTACTCATTTTTCGTTGAATATCACTCAAGAATTCCTGAAATTTTCATCCGTTTTAGTTATGTTCGGTACCTATTCACTATTCCAAAACAGTTGACCAAAAAAAAATTCCATTTCCTTGCAAAAAGTTTCCAGCCATAAACCACAGTAATCATACAGTGGCTGAAAACATAGGAATACTTTACATAGTACGTATGTGTGTGTTGAAGATCAATAAAATTTACTAATTCTTTATAAGATGAAAGATGTACATTTATGTTTTATAGCTTGAAGTTGTCTACGTTCAAAAATTTGAATCATATGAAATGAATTATATGAAGATCTCCAAGAACTTTAAAAAATTGAGGCTTGCATCTTCGCCACGTACACTGTGGGTTTAACTAAGCTACAACATCGTCATCCATGATGTCGAAAAAGAAAGGGGCAAAAGTTATTTGAGAAACTTTTGTTAATCAACTTTTGTTGATTATATGAAAACAGCAATTGAATAGGATAGGAGCGCTTGTATTTTTTTTATAGTGGTTTAGCAAAACATGTATTTCAAACTTGACTGGTGCTAAAATTAAGTCTTTATACTTGCAACAAGCCGTTAGCACATAGATTCAAAAATATCCTTTGCATCAATTTCGGCATGATATTCTAAAGATGATATCGTATGACATTTTACAAAAATGGAACTTACTTTACTTATCTTTGTAACATCAGTAACACTGACCGTGTATGGCATTGCAGTAAGCAGTGTCGCAGTCTACAAGGTAGCTGTGAAAATTTCAGTATTTAGAAATGAAAACGAATTAAATGTAATACACAACATTTAATTTTCGAAGATATATGGAACTTACTGACTTGTTTATCTGTTGGCAAATCAGAAAATTTCCACATATTTACTTCTAGGGAGGCAATCAATAACTGCTCGCATAAGGTTTCCTGCAATTTTTTTAGATTATAATTCCATGAATTTTTTTATCTATCCTTTATATCTTTAACAATAATGATATAAAAAATAAAAACTTGTGAATAAAATTTTTTTGAAACAAAAAAGATTTGTAAAGAGAGATGGTTGTCAAAAAAAATAACATTTTGTAATCGGAAATCGAAACTGTAGTCGATCCTTGCTTCGCAGTACAGTTGAAAAAATATTTCAACGAGCATGCACTGTTGCATAGTGGCTGTGCATTTCATTTTTTTTCCAACAATATTTTGAAATGCAAGATTTTGATAGATAGAGGTTCCGTTAGTACAATTTCCCAAAAATGACAACAAACTGATGATGTTATAGCAAATGAAATCAAAATATTTATCATTGCTTTAAAATTTATTAAAATTTCAAAATGAGGCGTAATTATGAATATATGATACTGCGACATAAATGCTTTCCTGTTTTACAAACTTTTGATGTTTCATTTAAAAACAAAACATTTTATTACTGTATGAATAAAGGAATCTGACGCCCTTTAATCAATAAACAGATTGAATGGAAGAGTGCATTTAAAATTTCTTCTAACAAGAAATTAGCCTTGTCAGAAAAAAGTAGGCTTATCAGAGCATAAGTATGAAAAGTTTCCACAGCACGGAATGCATCATGGTTACTATAAATATTTCTTGCTATATTTCTTCCTACTCCATCATAATAAATTATTAATAAATTCCCAAAATTAAAATTGTACTATGACTATAAAATTCTAAAATAAAAGCTCAAAATATGAGCGAGATGTATTGGATGAAGAAGGCAATGAGAAGTAAACGATGATTGAAAATAAACAAGTAGAAAGAGGCTCTTAGTTTCACAAAGAATAAACAAGTTTTAATAAGTGTTCCTTCTTCGACAATAAATTGGTATCAACTGGCTTATAGAAGCAATTACAACCTTTTTTGAAAAAAAATTTTCATTTACTTGTCATTTACATCTAAAATCTTTTTTATATAAAAATTTCAAATCTAGTCTTTCATATCAAAGCTTCGTTTGAAAAACTTTTCACTGTTCATTTTTCACTGAAAATTGTTGTCCATCTTACAATACAATAATAGATCATGCCGCTTCGATATCCAACTAGCTTCATCAGTTGCGTTTTCTTGTAAGTCCAGTTTTTCATTTTTTATATATCGAATTTTTATCACACCAAAAGTAAGATTTAATTATACCTTATCTTAAAATTGAATGAGCTATTAAAGCTGAAGCACTCTCTACTAATTAAACTAACGCTTTTGGGTATTTCGTTAGAAATAACTTTAGATTCATTTTGGTGATCTACAGGTGATTATGTAAAGTCAAAATGTTATTATTGGTAAAAATGCGAAGATTCGAATTGCATAAAGCCAAGATTCAAGACCTGGAATAATTGATTAAAGGAGCTAAATACCTTAAACTTTATCATCGCCATCGGCTAAATGATTTGAAATAATAGATCATTAGATAAATAAAAGGTCCTAATAAAAAAGAAATGAAAATATGTATCAAAACTTGAAATCTTTTTATAAAAGCAGTGGTGGAAAAAAAGTATCAGAACGCGTTTCCGACATTGCCACCAACAAAACAATTAGTGTATTGAATTTTCGCTTTATGTTGTGAAAATGAATCATATTGGCACTATTACCTTACTTGTCCATAACAGGTTAAATTTTATACAACTTGGTAATGAATAATTGATTAGGTAAATCATCATTATTTCACTTATTTCAGCGAATAATTATTAAAATCAATTTTGCGATTTCTGTTAGTGTTTATGATAGTCATCATAATATTGTCTAATTTCATATTTTCGGCATTTATTTTAATTAAATAAAACGACATGTCTAGTACAATAGTTACATGTTTGCATAAACAGGTCTTTGCAGTTATCAATATTTCATTCAATTTATTTACTAGCTCCAGCCGTACATATGTCTTGTTTATTAAATGAAAATAATTTACACGAGGATACATTTCAATTAAATTCATCAGGGTAAATATCATATTACACTTACCAACCAATCCCTAAATGATCATTAGTCGTTTAACCATTCTATTCATTCATCCGCTGAAATATAAAATGTCTTTACGAGATACCAGTCTTGAATATCAATTACTATCCAACAAATTTTTGCGCTATTAAATAATTTCCCTTCGACTTATAAAAGTCACTGTATTTCAAATGGATTTTAGTTATGTTAGAACATATAAAAGTAAGCAGATTTGGCAGAATTTGCTGCATAGCATAAGAATCGCTAAAGGTAAAAAGAATTTTGATGTAACTTAAACGATATTTTGATTGTGTTGATTTACAACTTGATTTGCATTTAACATTTAACCTCTGATCAACGATGAGCAGTTTTAGAGCAAAAGTTTTCATGGCGTTATAATTAAATGAATATAGCGGTGAAAAGATCCGAATATATTTGATAGCGCTGCATAAAGTATCACTGGAAAGAATATCATTTCACAAAATGGAGGCTTAAAATATCTGTGTTAATTACTGTTCTAACTGATTCATGCAGTATCAGTATCTGAGGGATCATTAACAGACGTAAAATGGGAGAAGAAATGTATACAGCGTGTTTGAATGGATGCTTAAAAAGTTTAAAAAAAGAAAGGAATTCAATAAATACTGCTTACAGAAAAGTTGGCACGCAATTTAGTTATGAAACGATGTGGTTTTAATAATTGATTTTCTTTAAACTGTACTGCAACATTGTTTTTTTATCAGTTGATGTTATTGATAGGTTAAGCAAGCGTACAATTAATGCGACAATTCAACATAATTCTTTTTTTTTCCACTCTTTAAACCCTTCTTTCTTCAATTAAGCCAAATATTTCACTCTAAGTGTTGGGTAATTAGTACTTGCAGCGGCTGTGTTCAATCAAACAAATTTTCTGTATTTTGCAACCGCGTTTCCACCCAACTGACGACCTACCTTATTATTTTCATTCCTATTAGTTTTAGGCTCCTCTCTTTCTCGTTGACAGAGAATAGATAATTTTTTTCGTATTTCTGCTTTAAAATAGCATTTATTTGATATGAAGTACATGATATGTGCACATGTATAATTTGTCGCATGTAAAGAGATTTCGCGTGTTAATTTCTTATTGTCTGCCTCTTCGACATTGAATAAATCCCATTATACTAATAACAAACTCTCTGACTATCAGTTTTACTATTAGCCGCAATTTATCACCGCCTTGATTTCTTAATTGTGCTTTAATGATGTACTGAAGGAAATGAATGTAAGGAAAAGCAATTAGCTGAAGTATTTATTCATTCTAAGCTTTTTATGAAATAGAAAAAGCATTTTTCGCTTGTTGTTTGCGGGTGTGCCACAATAATAACTGGGATAAGCAATAAATATTTACATAAATATTGGCTTTTCAAGGTTTTCAGACGATCTGCTGCTCATTTTTTTGGCCTTTCTGAAATAAAATTTTTTGGATTTTTATGCATTTGTATGATTTTTTTATATTAATTTATGGATTTGGATTTATCGTAACATCTTGGATAGAAACTCAATGATTTTACTGTTTATAATAGATATGGTGATATAGCATTCAATTGTTTAAATTTAATTTAGCATTTGAAATATGTCTTGTTTTAGAATAAGCTTTACTATCTTTGTAGGTTTCTTGTTAATTTTAACCAGTTCAAAAGTAAGTTTTAAACATTTCAAAATATCGACAAAATAAACGCTATTTTTCTAGCTAATAGGATCACATGCAGTTCAAAATGTCAATTAGTTCGGACATAAACATAACAGTGAAAATGAGCAACATTTTCAAAAATGAATTAAGTGCGAATGATGGAGGATTGTCGAAATATTGTGAAATCAAAATAAGTTTTCGAGACCAATGTGTTACTGACAGCAATTTAATTGTAATGATATTTGAGTGAGAAATTCTTGAAGGGATCGAAGCTCTTAAGAATATCAAACTATCATAGAATTTTCAACTATGAAAAGAATATGAAGTGAATGCGTTATATGCGTGACAGATGGTAGTGGTCAGTGAAGGTGCTGAATTTGTTGCCATATGGTGCTCACCGACCTGCCTATATTTTCAGATACGAAGGATAATGTGATGAGGAGAATTGATGTTATGATACAGACGACAATTCATGACTATAGTTGGGATTAAATAAATGTTTGCTTCAGATTTTATTGAAGCAGTATTAGGAAGGTAATATCTTGAGTCTATATTTTTTTAAATGTATTTGATGAGAAGAGATGCATAGATATGTTGCTATTTCGATGGAATATAATTGTTGTTATTGCTATTAGTATCATATTGCTATCAGTATTTTATCTATAAGTTGTAAAACTTTCAAAAAAAGATGACGAATATTAGGACATTGTTTATTTAGTGCTGGTCGCTTTTGTGACGTTTTGGAACAAAAATTCATGAACTTCCGGACCAGCATTGTTAAAAAATTAATATGGAACTAGTATCGAAAGCAGTGGAAAAGAAGGAATAAGTGAGGTATGTAATTAGTAAGAGTAAGATGTATATAGCAAAAGGAGTGCGAGAGTTGAGGAATGTGTTATGCGATTTGTTTCGGTATCTTCTACGCAATGTTCGTCCTTGATTCGACACCCAGGCATGTAAAGGGAAAATTTATCACGACCTGTTTTCACCGCCAAAATCATTTGCTATGTGTAAATATGTCTCCCATTGTATAATAATACTTGCTTCCTTTCCTTCCTGTGCTGATATTTAAATTTTAATGAAAATGCAATTATTGTGGAAGTAAATAGACATGCTTCGATGATTTATCACTGAGATCACCATTCAAATATATTCGTTTTTCAATCCATTTGCCATTCTGATCAAACCATTTATGATAGGAACAAAATTCATTTACGAAACAAAACTTTTTGTGTTCTGCCATTCGTCATCTTTACAAGTTTCTCCCTTTTGTCATTTAATTTAATTTCATCCCACAACTGACCTCATTCTACCCCTCATTACAAAACTAACACTGCAGTAAAACTTTGTTGAGCCTTACTTGAAATATTCATATGGTGAAAAATATCGGTCCTATTTAATTTATATGTTCATCAACAAAGATGAAGGAATTTTGTCGTCTGAGTGTTTATGATATGATATTAAATGAAAATAAGAAGTAATCGCCTTCATCGGCTCTTTCACTTCGCATATGATGGGATTATTCTCCTTGTAGATCTAGAAAAATTAGAAATCGTGAGTTTGTTTGTATCAA